GAGCTTCTCCAGCTGATAAACACCTTCAGCAAAGTGGCAGGATACAAAATCAACTCAAAAAAATCAGAAGCCCTCCTGTATACCAAAGACAAAAGGGCCAAGAAAGAAATAAGGGAAACAACACCCTTCACAATAGCCACTAATAACATACAGTACCTTGGGCTGACACTAACCAAGCAAGTGAAAGACCTGTTTGAGAAAAACTTCAAGTCTCTGAAGAAAGAAATTGAAGAAGATATCAGAAGATGGAAAGATCTCCCATGCTCATGGATTAGTAGGATTAAAATTTTGAAAATAGCCATCCTGCCAAAAGCAATCTATAGATTCAATGCAATTCCCATCAAAATACCAACTCTATTCTTTACAGACCTTGAAAAAAAGATTCTCAGCTTCATATAGAGAAACAAAAAACCCAGAATCTCCAAAACAATCCTGTACAACAACAGATCATCTGGAGGTGTCTCCATCCCAATCTCAAGCTGTACTACAGAGCAATAGTGATAAAACCTGCATGGTATTGGCATAGAAACAGAAAGGAAGATCAATGGAACTGAATAGAAGACCCAGAAATAAACCCACACACCTATGAATACTTGACTTTTGACAAAGCAGCCAAAACCATTCAGTGGAAAAAAGGCAGCATCTTCAACAAATGGTGCTGGTCCAACTGCATGTCTATATGCAGAAAAATGAAAATAGATCCATATTTATCACCCTGTACAAAACTAAAGTCCAAGTGGATCAAAGTCCTCAACATAAAACCAGATACTCTAAATCGGTTAGAAGAAAAAGTGGGGAACAGCCTAGAACTTATTGGCACAGGAGACAACTTCCTGAACAGAACACCAACAGCACAGGCTCTAAGAGCAACAATCAATAAATGGGACCTCATGAAACTGAAAAGCTTCTGTAAAGCAAAGGACACTGTTGTCCAAACAAAACGACACCCTACAGATTGGGAAAGGATCTTCACCAACCCTTTATCTGACAGAGGGCTAATATCCAGTATATATAAAGAACTAAAGAAGATAAAAAGCAACAAACCAAGTAATCCCATTAAAAAATAGGGAACAGAGCTAAACAGAATTCTCGATAGAGGAATAACAAATGGCAGAGAAACACTTAAAGAAATGTTCAACATCATTAGCCATTAGGGAAATGCAAATCAAAACAACCCTGAGATTTCACCTTACACCCATTAGAATGGCCAAGATGAAAAACTCAAGTGACAACACATGTTGGAGAGGTTGTGGAGAAAGGGGAACCCTCCTCCATTGCTGGTGGGAATGTAAACTGGTACAACCACTTTGGAAGTCCATCTAACACTTTCTCAGAAAATTAGGAATAGTGCTTCCTCAAGACCCAGTTATACCACTGCTAGGTATATGACCAAAATTTGCTCAAGTATACAACAAGGACATTTGTTCAACCATGTTTGTAGCATCTTTATTTGTAATAGCCAGAACCTGGAAACAACCCAGATGTCCATCAATGGAGGAATGGATACAGAAATTGTGGTATTTTTACACAATAGAATACTAATCAGCAATCAAAAAGGAGGAAATCATGAAATTTGCAGGCAAATTGTAAGATCTAGGAAAGAGCATTCTGAGTGAAGTATCCCAGAAGGAGAAAGACAAACATGGTACATACTCGCTAATATAGACCTACAAGATATGATAAACATAATGAAGTTTATACACCTAAAGAAGATAAACAAGAAAGCAGACACGGGGTAAGATGATCAATCCTCACTTAGAAAGACAAATGAGATGTGCGTTGAAGGTATGACAGGAGTCTACCACAGAAGGCATCTGAAAGACTCTACTTAGCAGTGTTTCAAAGCAGATACTAAGACTCATAACTAAACCTTTGGCAGAAGTGGAGTTAGTATGAAGTGGAAAAGATAGTTGCTCCACAATGACCAAATATATCTGGGCACAGGGATCTTTTCTGAGACTGACACTCCACCACGGACCATGTATGGATATAACCTAGAACCTTTGCTCGGATGAAGCCCATGGTATCTCAGTAACCAATTGGTTTCCCATAGTAAGAGGAACAGGGACTATTTCTGACAGGAACTCAATGGCAGGCTCTTTGACCTCCCCATCCCCAAGGGAGTAACAGTCCTGCTGTACCACGGAGGAGGACTTTGCAGCCAGTCCTGAAGATACCTGATAAAACAGGGTCAGATGAAAGGGGAGGAGGTCCCCCCATCAGTGGACTTGGAAAGGGAAAAGGGAGGAGATGAGGGAGGGAGTGTGAGATTGGGAAGGAATAAGGGTGCGGGATACAGCTGGGATACAGAGTTAATAAAATGTGACTAATAATAAAAAAATTAAATTAAATTAAAAAATAATGGGTCCTGCTAGAAATGGTTACAATCCTCTCTGGGTAAGAACTGATTAGCCAATCCGAAGTTGAGTTTCAGTTTTGCCTTTGCTCAAAACTAGACCTCAAGGAGGAGAATATTATATAAAGCGTAAAGAAATGCAAATCATCTTTAAAATATTTTAAGACATAAATGTCAAATTCATGTATAGAATTAGAAGACACGCTAAAAAAGTGAGAGATAGCAAGTAAGTAACAGAATGGAAACACTGTAGATTTAATTATATAAGATATAGAGAACAAACTATCAGCTTGTATATACTTATAAATACATTTATGTATGTGTATGTCAAGATATGTCTCGTAATCTAAACGTCTACTTCCTGAGTGTTCCTTTCTAAATTCATTTCTAAATCCCTTGTTTACCTGAACAGTTACTATCACTATCAGAAACTCAGGAACCCAAGTGACGTCCTAACAGTACTCCACCTCTCCAGGGTTGCTGCATGTGGTCAGGAAATGATTCCTTTGTAGGTAATCTGAACTGTGTAAGTACAGAGAGAGTGACTTGGCAGGTAGCATAAGTACATTTATTTGTTCGTGTCTGCCTTTGATTTTGTGTGTGACTAGCTTCCTAAACTGGTGCTGCCATGACCCTGCCACAATGATGGGGTTAATCTGGAATTATGAACTGAAATAAACCTTCTCTCCCTTACACTGCTTTTATGTGGGAATTATGTCCCAGCCACAGAAAAGAAACTTAGATGCCTTGCCTTACTTTTGTATGGCAACCCTACTAGCCATTGTGCCATTTCTCTACCTCAGGGGTTCTCAACCTTCCTCTCTACCACAGCTCCTCCTCTATGTTGTGGTGACCCTTCAGTCAGAAAATTATTTTTGTTGCTACTTCATTACTGTAGTTTTGCTGCTGTTGTGAACAATAATGTAATCACCTTGTATGCAGTATATCTGATACACAACCCCTGTGAGAGGGTCATTTAACCCCCAAAGGGGATGTGACCTACCGGGTGAGAACAGCTGTTCTAGCTAAAGTCCAATACTTTCGACTATTCTAGTCATCACTCCTAGAGCCCACAACAGCCTAAAAACTACTTTGTAAAAACTAAGCTACTTTAAGGAAGCAATACAAAGTAGTTTGTAGTAGATGGAATTTGCTACCTTTTACAAAGGTAAGGAAATATCCTGTGTTACTGTAAAAAAAATCATCAAATAAATGTTTGTTACTATATTTTGACAAAATATTTTGGTAGAAATTCTTACTAATACTTAGTATTAACATTAGCCTCTCATATGTTAAATTATCAAAAATACATGAAGATACACTTCTTTATTTTATTTTTATATTCGCTACCAGTAAAACAAATATCACTAGAATACATTTCTGGACAGGGTGTGCACTTGTAAGTGAACATAAAATTAGATGTAAATGAGACTATTTATTTTCTAATAAAGACCCGTGTTTTTATTGCATGTATATGTTTTGGTTATTCAAGTTCTAATAAAACAAGAATAAACCCTAAAGCTTGTAAAAAAAAATCTTTACATCTCCTTTTTTTTTTCAATTGAAAATATTTTTTTCATACAGTATATTCTGATTGTCCCTTCCCTAACTTTTTCCAGATACTCTCAACCTCTCCAACTACTGAAATTTTCATTCTTTCTTGCTCTTTCTCATAAACAAAACATAATCAGGAATCGAGAAAAAAAGAAATAAAGTAAAAACAAACTTTAACGGGATAAAAGAAACAAATGTACAGAGAAGCAAAGAAGCAAGGAAAACGTAAGAAATACATAAAGACTAGGAGACACAAATAGCAAAACCTTTGACTATAAACTACAATATATAAGCAAAAGGCCTGTAGGATGAGAAAAGAAAGGGGAGCCCAGACAAAGCATCATGAGACAAAAGCCCTCCCCAAATACCACTTAATTCATTTGTGCTGGCTGTGTACTGCTGGACATGGCTCTTGACCTTAGGAGTGTTTGTATGCTCAGTGAGACTTCAGTGAAGAAAATTCTTTTGTCATTCGAAAGCAGTTATCAGTTAGAAATAGCTCCCGGGAGAACACCAGGGAAACGAGGTCTTTTAAACACAGCATGACAGAAGCACGTATGGACTCACAGAAGCTGTGGCAATATACACTAGGCCTGAACATGCCTGGGCCCAATGGGGTATCAGCTCTTTGAATCTTAAAGCGGTGACTTTAAGTGATTTCTTTGATCTTCACAAAGATGCTAATTCAGTGGTGCCACTAGGTGTGGGCATATTGCTTTGGGAAGAGAGCAACAGGAAGAGTTTGAGGGGAAATGATACATGTGTTCATCAGTGGTTATTTATTTCATTTCTAGCATTTTCCAAGCTTTAGAGGTAGTTGACACAATTCCAGTTTCAGGGCTGGGCTCTACTCCTTTCAAGGACAGGTTTTCTAAATACCCACCTCACTAGCCCTTGGTGGCTTCTCTTTGGTTTGAAGAGTCAGAAGTCAGAAAAGAGGTCCCTGGCAACTCATTTAAATGGGAATCATTCAGCAGCACAGACAGGACATAATTGAGTTTGTGACAGGTTTAATGAAAGCAACGTGTAACAGAAGGGCCAGCAATGTTAGTAATAGTGGGCCTCCAATGAGGAAGGGGCGGTGTGTTACCTCCTGATTAGCTGCAGCTAGTTCCTCTTCCAGTGCAGAGACTCTTTCTAAAGAAACCCTCAGTCGTTCCCTTACCTAGAAGAAAAATCAAAATATGTGCAGTAACGTACATCCCAAACACAGGAAACCGGTGCTGAAGCTATCATTAACATCAGAGACAAATGGTCAAATTCTTCAAGCATTTGTAGCCCTAAGATCTCAGAATGATTCTAAACCTGGTATGACCAACATAAAAAAACAAACAAAAACAAAACAAAAACAAACAAACAAAAAAAGGCATCATTGTTTCAAAGGATGTCCTTGTAGCAAATCCTTTTGTAGGTGAACTGATAGATCTTCCAACAGGGTCAGAAACTGACTGGCTTTGCTGCAATTTCTGATTCATAGTAAGTAGGGACATAGCTCAAAAGCATAACCATGTCATCACTGCAAACTAATAAGTGATTAAGCATGAAAATAGACAAAATAATTCTTGAAAATAAGTGAGTTTTATTTTGGCTTCCAGTGCCTTACTTCAAATGTGATTTGTTTAAAAGCAAAGGCTCTTGGAAACTTGAAAGTTGATATGAATTTATTTGAGTGCCTGAAAAGTGTTAATGATTTTTGGAATATCCACCTTGTATCCAATTACCAGGGGGAAAGGCATGGCATTTTGTAGAACTATACACGTAGGCAGTTGAGTTTGAAAGCAGTGATGTCTTAAAATTGTTTCCTATGCAATTAAAATTCTCAGGACTGTTTCTTGGATGTATGCTTTATGACAGCTTCCAAAATTGAAACCATGTGTGGTGCATGTGCCAGTCAAACTCTAACACTTGGAAGACTAAGGAAGAAGAGTGAGTCAAAGGCCACACCGGAATGTAAGCAAGTTACAGGCCAGCTTGGTTGACTTCAGGAGGCCCTGTCTCACAAGAAAGCAAAAAACAAACCAAATCAAAATAAAAAAGTAATGAAAGTCCCAAATCATTGTATGTTTCACTGATACATAAACTTTATATTACATTTACCACAGGGAAACTACACTGTGTAAATATTTACTTAATGATTATAGTAGTTTAATTTGCCTCAAACGTCAACAAACCATAGATCTGAGACACAATTCATCTCAAGTTTTTATTATGTATAAAAATGCATGTTCTATTTAAATGTTATAGAAGTTTTCAATAAATATGAGTTTTAATGCTACAGTTATGTTTTTATGTGTGGATTTTGTTATGTAATTGATTGTGCATGTTATCATTTGATATTTTCTTACATAATAAGTTTTAAGTAGGAATATAAAATAAATACAGAAAATACGTGAATTTTATTAAATTTTACAGTTGGAATAATCACGTTACTTGTTAATTATGTAAGAAAAAGAGCGAATAATGTTTCTCTAACTTTAAGGTCAAATACAAATTTTAATGATCTTAGTTATTAATTTTAATATTATATTAGTGTGTACAGTTAGGTGACTGAGTTTACCTAACTGTTGAGGCATCCAAGTATGCTATTACATTCTAATTTTTGGTGTAGTATCAGTTCAAAATAAAACAATATTTAGCATTTAAAACTTCTTCACAGAATCTCTATTTAGCTATATCACATTGGTTACCATGGCCTGGCTTTAGACAAATTTTAAATCACTCAGAAGAGCAGCACAGAATTAATTCTGATTAATAAGTGGACAATGTAAGATGGAAGCCTTGGCTGATTTGACTGGAAGACTGTATGTAATATGTGGTGTGTCGTGATAAATGGGTCTGGCAATCCTGGGTAACGAGAACAACCAGGAGACTTCTGAGTGCACTCGGTGATCCTGTGCACACTGATCAGGTCACACTTACAGGCCACAGAGGCGTTGAAGTACCACACTTTAGTTGAAATGCTGCTGCATTACAACTTTTCCTAATTTAGTGTTGGATTTAAATAAAGATCTTCTGGATGCAAGCTGTACTGTAGGTTAAAATATCTTATTAGCTATATCTGTTAGCTTGACAATCTTAGCTACTGATTTCTTTTACCATAAGTTAAGCACTTCAAGAAATAACAGTTGTGAGGCCTATCAAGAAATATGAATAAAGAATTATCTCTCCATAAATTTGCAGGAATTTTGGCCAAAGAGAATATGTTAATCCCAAATTAATGAATCTAAACCATCTTTATATAAAAATAAACACATTTTAACTATAGTTTTAATTAATAATAAAAATGCAAAAAATCTGGCTGCCACTATCAATAAAGAATTCACCAAAATTATTAACTTTGTGTCTCCATTTTACACAAAATTTCAATGCATAAAATATTTACTTTATTTATCAAACTTTTATAAGGAAAAGGAAAGAAGGCAAATATGTAACCTTTCCAAGGATAAGAATTTGATCATTTTTTCTTATCTGGTTGGTTATAATCATATCACAGGAAAAATCAATATGTATCACAAATGTTTTCAGTCCCTGCTCTGTCACAATCATTGTGCCAGCAGAATATCATACATATTTTTTTAGAATACTATTTCTTGTTGAATTGTGTCCTCCTATATGTTTAGGTAGATTTGACATGTCATGAGAAACAGTAACTGTTTAATTTTGGTCTAACAAACAAGTACACAGGTTTAGTTGTCAGTTGTCCCTACCCTAACCTTTCCCTTTTTACTGGATTGAACTGTTGCTGTCATAAAGTTTTCCCTTACCTGTATTGCTTTTTATATAGGTATAATGTAACTGCCAATTATAGTGTTTGTATTCATCAGAAATTTTTATTTCTACATTTTTCATTATTTCTGTTTTCTTTGAAATGGTAGAAAAATTGTTTAGTGAAATTTTTGCTTTCAAAATTTACTTCAAGGAGATGATAATTTTACTATAGAAGATTAAAAGAAAACAAGTCCCTAATTATAACAACTGTATCACCCAATGAAGAGACTGATGGAAAAAGTGAATATTCCAAACTGAAATTGAGGCATTACAGGGTTTCATTGTAGCAATTTCTGATTATAAAATAGAAAAAAAATGTGAGGAAAGCTTCTTACACTAGACGTTCAAGTCCAGTTTGACTGTATGGTATTTACCTATGAAAATATAATTGAGAGACATGTACATACATATACATATTTGATGTGTTTTGAGTTACATTTGTCATAATGGAGGCTAATACCAGAATTACTTTTGGTTTTAGTTAAACTTGAAGAGTCTACTTATGTTAGTGATTGCATAAGTGAACATAGATACTTAAAACTGCCACTGCGAGCCATTATAACTGTTAAGACCCATGTTTAATCTTTTATAGCTTATATGTTAAAGTCTGAAGTCTATTTGCCTGAGGCAAAGTTAATTACTTTTTCTTATTTTTTTCTCTTGGCTTTTATAGCCATAGCACTTAGGTTAAAATGCTAATTGGTTATTTATACACCTGTGGATTTACTCCCCATTTTCATAAAAAGCTGAGAGTTACTGCCAGGGGAATTTGTACATAAATTTGCACTTATGTACAAATTAGGACCTCGATAAACAAAATAAATGTTATTTAAAATAAGTACCTGTGCCCAGAGGGAGCTCAACTTCATAGTTTCAAACTTTTAACAAATGTTGACATTTTCTGATGCTAATAGGAGTATCAATTAACATTAGTTGATAACTGTCCTGATAGGTAGCAGTGGTTCAAAGCTGTTCATGTTATATCGTAGATGACCCAGGAGTTCAAGGAAGATACAGTTATTATCTTTGTCTCAAAGAAGTAGATATATAGTAAAGTTAAACCACTTGAACAGATCCGTCTACTCCATAGGGGAACCTCAGCAATTTATGTGGATAAGTTCATAAATATCAGTTCAGTTGCTCATGAATTTACCAGTATCTATGGCACTTGTGTCAAGTTTATAAATATTGTAATTGTTCATAGAGCTATATTAAGTACTTCCTTTAGCTATAGTAAGCTGATAAAACTTCTATATGATAACTTTTATATTCATCCAAATGTACTCAAACAAGCAGATTACTGTCATAAAAGCATCTGTTAATTTCTACCCTGGTCAATACACACTCACTCTTTTAAGTGATGTCAGAGTTCTTACAGGAGACATGAAAAATAATCACATATTCTCAGGTACATTTATTTAAATTATTCAGTATAGTTGTGTTTTTGTTTTTGTTTTTGTTTTCTGGAAAGGCCATGCTTTTCTCGGTGATCCAGGTCATTGTAGGTGTTGGTGCTACATATTATGCTATCTGTCTCTGGCTTAAAAACACATACTATTATTCATTCTTTCCTATTTAGGTAAGATATAATTCATTTATAACTTCTCTAAAGCCATTCAAATAAAACCAGACAGTACTTTTGTGACAGCAAGGAGTATTGTTGACTTGCGTTTGGAACTGCTTGTCATTGATGTGTGAATGTCTAGGACTCTGAACCCTTTAGTCATAAAGAGAATGTCTTACTTTGTATGACAAATCTCTCAAGGATATTGACACAAAGCAAATATTTTATAAATTTTTGCCGAATTTCATTAGTGTATGTTTATGATAAAAGGAAATATAATCAAAACTGAATATATGTAATTATTTGGTACTATACTTAGGCTGGTTATTTGTATATCATGTATTTTTGTCCTTCTTCACATTTTTATGATTTTTTGCCTCTCATAGCCAAAATGAAAATGACATATAAATTCTTCTTAATAATCGAGAAGACAGAATTGTTATCTTTGTGTAGACATTTCACATAATCCTCTGTCCTAACAACTATTTGAAAGACTAATGATAATAATATGTAAGCATATAAATATTAAATGAAACAAAATTCTGCATGCTCAAAACCTACAAATAAACTGGCTATAATTTCTAGTTTGAATTTTAATGCTCAGAACTTGTCATATAGATCATTATGAAGTGCCCCAGTTCTAGCTATACTAAATCCTAACACTTTTCAATTTTTAAAATCACTTCTTTGAACTTTTATAAAATTGAAATTGTGTCATAAACCTTAACTAATCTCTAAAGGATATTCTCTCCAGATTGCCTTCTATTTTCCAGTAGAGCTTATTTGAATAGCAGCTAAGAGAAGCTTATAGCTATGCTTGCAAAGGCTGAAAAATGAGTTTTCCTTCTAATACGTTATGTTGTTACAGGCAGAAACTGTCACCATGTGTATTGGAAATGAAGATATTAGCAGCACTGCCACATGGAATATAGGTGTCTAAAACTTAAAGCATGCCCAAATTGCACTTCGAAATACATGTGATTTTGTGTTACATGACTTTCAGAGAGAAGGAGATGGGGAAATGGCAGAGACAGAGAGAGACTGAATACTATTACATAATAATAGATTTCAAATATCCCTCTGGGCCAGGGGTGTAAGGCTATAAAATAGGATCTAAATCTGACAAGCTGTACATTCCGTGATATAAATAAAAGAACGTGGTCACGAACTCTGTCAATCCACAAGCAGTCACTGAATTAAACAAATTTTTTTTCATAGCTCAAAAGTGTGTTTTCGATCTAATTTGCCTGTTCATTTGTGAGAAATTAAGAAGCTTCCAGCTAATAACAGAGGCACAGTTCAGTCTGAAATCTCATATCTATACTATACCTTTTCATCCAAGGCCTTGTGGTGCTCAAACAAAGATTTCAGGGCCTTGAGAACCTCCACCTCACTGGACACGCCAGAGGGAGACTGCGCTTGCCGCTTCACCACCGTCATTCTCAGGGACCGTTCATGTCGGGACACCAGGCACTCCAAGTGCTCCAGTAGCAGCTGTGGGGTCAACAGAGAGTGGAGTTGTCATATGAATACGTCTGACCGGCACTTTTTAAAGTATGACAAGCTTTTACAGCACCCAGGACCAACCCTAGAAAGTACAAGAGAAAACAGAAAAGAATCACCATGCAGTTAGCTTGATGTTTGTAAAACACATTAAAGTGAAACTGCCCTCAATCATGTGGCCAGTCACTGAATAATAAGCCATACCGTATGTTCTTTTAACACAGTGGTTCCCTTTGTGTGTGTGTGTGTCTGTGTGTGTGTGTGTGTTTCTTTTTCTTTTTTTTTAATTACAGTTTATTTACTTTTGTATTCCAGCTGTAGCCTCCTCCCTTATCCCCGCCCAATTCTGCCCTCCCTCCCACTTCTTCCTTCTCCCTCCCCCAGCCCACTGATAGGAGAGGTATTCCTCCCCTTCCATCTGACCCTAGCCTATCAGGTCTCATCTGGACTGGCTGCATTGTCTTCCTCTGTGGCCTGGTATGGCTGCTCCTTCCTCAGGAGGAGGTGATCAAAGAGCCAGCGACTGAGTTCAAGTCAGAGACAGCTCCTGTTCCTTTTACTATGGAACCCACTTGGAGACTAAGCTGCCATGGGCTACATCTGTGCAGGGGTTTGAGATTATCTCCATACATGGTCCTTGGCTGGAGTATCAGTCTAAGAAAAGACCCCTGTGTCCAGATTTTTTGGTTCTGTTGCTCTTCTTGTAGAGCTCCTGTCCCCTCCAGGTCTTTCATCTGTATCTTTTTTCATAAGATTCCCTGCACTCTACTCAAAGTTTGGGCACAGTGGTTCTCAACCTTACGAATGCTGTAACCCTTTAATACAGTTCCTCTTGTGTAGTGATCCCCAACCATAAAATAATTTTTTTATTGCTACTGCATAACTAATTTTGCTACTGTCATGAATCATAATGCAAATATCTGTGTTTTCCAATGGTTTTAGGTGACACCTGTGAAAGGATCATTTTGACCCCTAAAAAGGTTACACCCCACACCTTTAAATCTGTGGAAATAAAAAACTTGAAAAAAATGTGTATGGACTAAAAGGTTAGCTATTAGACAAAAGTTATCCCTTAAATAAATACAAGTACAAAATAATTTAATATAATGTTTTATTAATTCTTTTGAGAATTGTCAGACTGTGTCAGGATGTTTACTTTTTTAAGTAGTAGCGTTATATGTACTTGTTGTAGTGTAAACTGTGTAAGAGCAAGAGCCTGTTACGTATTTAGGTTCCAGCCGTTTGTTCCTTCGTGTATTTGGATAGCAGCTCAGCTATGAACACAAACGTCAGGAAATACACTTTGAATTCCTAAGAGGTAAAAAAGTGAAGTCAGTTTCCCTGTGTATGTACTCAACAGTGTCAAAGTTCAGGACAGACTATGGGAACTTTAAGTTAATTCTTGAAGGATTAGGCTAATTAATGTGGTTATATCCATATGAATGAATGTTTCAGCCAAATGATGTTCATAGGAAAACAAATACTACAGTTCAATTTTCCTGAAATGTAAAGGGAGGTGTGTAGATTCAATTAATATTTGTATGCCTTACATCGCCTGGTGCCAGGATAGGAGGAGAAGCATATGGTATAATGTAAACTTGATGGAACATAATGAAATATTATTCTACCACTACAGACAGCTGTCTCTGGAGGCCTCCTAAATCTTATCATCACCCTGCTTTCTTTAGGAAAGTTCTTCACACTGCAAATTTTACTTTCCTAACATAGAACACCAAGAAACTACAATTTTCTGCCTCTTTTTTTTTTTTTTTAACCACAGAGCTTTTTACTAATTATACATCTTTGCAAGTTAGAAGCCTTCTGATGGTGTGTGTTAAAGCATCCATCTTGATCCACGGTACTGCGAAGGAATTCTGATTCAGTAGGGAACTGGGAAAACAGTCAACTTTTTCTTCAGCTTTTGCAATGAGTTTCTGGACTTTGCTGTTGAAAACACTGGACTCCATATGTTACTTTTTGAAGAAATTCTACCAAAAAAATAATAATAAGAAGAATTCTTACTACCTGTAAAAAGTAACCATTCAATCTGACTGCAGTGAATTCTCTTTTCTACAACTAAGTTGTAAAAATACAACTTAAGTTATTAGTTTCTATTGGCTGTTAAACCTCACCATAATTACCATCCACCATGGCCTACAAATGCTTATTAAATATGTTAGCTTCCTGGTTGTTTTTATTTCTTCCCAAGATTACTCCATTCATAACTCTTGATGATCTTTATTACTCATTTATATGATTTTCCTTATATTTTACCCTCTAAATTTCTACATTTTATGTATTCTAACAATCTAAATTTCTACCCTATCTAATTTCACTCACTCACATCCAACTGTTTTTCCGTAGATCCTGCCATGATCAGTAAGGGCAACTCTTCCAGAATTGTAGTTCTTTCCTTTGAGCTACAGATGACTGCATTTCTAGCTTGCCTATTTATATGCTCAAAAAATACAAAACAAACAAACAAACAAACAAACAAAGCCCTGAATTCTCAAGTCCTCTTACCACAGGAATTTATTATTTCATATTCTCTTTCCATATGAACCTTACATACTACTTTGCATTATTACTCTTTTTGTGTTTGGTCAGAAATCAGCTACCTTCTCATACATCCACTGCTGCTACACAGTTTCCACCTTCATTATCCTCTCTTGAATTAGTGCACTAACAGCTTATTTGATGGAACTGAAATTTCCACCCTTTCATTCATCGGATTATTACTCCAAACTATTACATTTAAAATAAAATCTAGGCTCTTTGTGCTTTTGCTCAAGTCCCTATTGTCTTTTCATTTAGCCAGAAGTCAGAGTCCTTACATGTATGTCCTAAGTGGAATCGAAATTACATGAACTCACTTCTTTTTCTTTTTTTTCTCAATTTATTTTTATTTTTTATTAATTACAGTTTATTCACTTGGTATCCCACTTGTATCTCCCTCCCTCTTCCCCTCCCCATCCCACCCTCCCTCCCTCTTCTCCACCCATGCCCCTCTCCAAGTCCAATGATAGGGGAGGTCTTCCTTCCCTTCCTTGTGATCCTGGTCTATCTGAAACTGCTGTTGTTAAAACTTTTTTTTCTACCTCACCTTCCCTATTTCAACACTGCCATCATCTGGTTGTCCTGTTTCTTGCCCTTGATCTCTGAGGCAAGGGCATGGGCTGCTGATTTCATCATTTAACTCAAAGACATCCTCATTCTCTCATGATCCTAGTGATCCCCACTAAACTCCCTACTTGCAGTTTAAAATTCTTTTTCCCTTAGCCACAATGTCAGGTACAACCATACTAGGGATCACTACCAATATAGATATATTTTTTCCCATCATCCTTCTCTCATCTCCTCCGTGCCCTCTCTAAGTCCACTGACAGAAGAGGTCCTCTTCTCCTTCCATCTGACTCTAGTCTATCAGGTCTCATCAGGACTGGCTGCAATGTCCTCCCCTGTGGACTAGGAAGGCTGCTCCTCCCTTGAAGGTGGGTGTGGGGGAGAAGGTCAAATAGCCAGCCACTGAGTTCATGTCAGAGACAGTCTCTATTCTCCTTACTAGGGTACCCAATTAGATGCAGAACTGCCATGGGCTACTTCCGAGCAGGGGTTCTAAGTTATATCCATGCATGGTCTTTGGTTGGAGAATCAGTCTCAGAAAAAGACCCCTGTACCTAGATATATTTTGTCCTTGTGGTGCTCCTGTCCTCTTCAGGCCTTATTAACTCCCCCTTCTTTCATATGATTCCCTGCATTCTTCCCAAGGTTTGGTTATGAGTCTCAGCATCTGCTTTAATACACTGCTAGGTAGAATCTTTCAGAGGCTCTCTACGGTAGGCTTCTGTCCTGTTTCTTGTTTTCTTCTACTTCCAATGTCCATCCCATTTGTCTTTCTAAGTGAGGATTGATCATCTTACCCCAAGACCTCCTTCTTGTTTAGCTTCTTTAGGTGTACAGATTTTAGTATGTTTATCCTACCTAATAGGTCTAGTATCTACATATAAATGAATATATAGCATGTGTGTCTTTCTGCTTCTGGGATACCTTACTCAGGATGAGCTTTTCTAGATCCCACCATTTGCCTGAAAATTTCATGATTTCCTTGTTTTTAATTGCTGAGTAGTATTCCATTGTGTAAATTAACCACAGTTTCTGTATCCATTCCTCAGTTGAGGGACATGAAGGCTATTTCCAGCCTCTGGCTATTACAAATAAAGCTGCTACAAACATGGTTGAGCAAATGTCCTTGTTGTGTACTTGAGCATCTTTTGGATATATGCCTAGGAGTGGTATAGCTGGATCTTAAGGAAGCACTATTCCTAATTGCCTGAGAAAGCACCAGATTGCTTTCCAAATGGTTGTACAAGTTTCATTTCCACCAGCAATGGAAGAGAGTTCCCCTTTCTCCACATCCTCTCCAGTATGTGCTGTCACTTGAGTTTTTGATCTTAGCCATTCTGATGGGTATAAGGTGAAATCTCAGGGTCGTTTTGATTTGCATCTTCCTGATGGCAAAGGACATTGAGTATTTCTTTAAGTATTTCTCTGCCATTCTATATTCCTCTACAAAGTATTCTCTGTTTAGCTCTGTACCCCATTTTTTAGTTGGATTGCTTGATTTGTTGCTTTTTAACTTTTTTAGTTCTTTATATATACTGGATATTAGCCCTATGTCAGATATAGGGTTGTTGAAGATCCTTTCCCAGTTTGTAAGCAGTCGTTTTGCTCTGATAACAGTGTCCTTTGCTTTACAGAAGCTTTTCAGTCTCATGAGGTTCCATTGCTCTTAGAGCCTGTGCTGTTGGTGTTCTGCTCAGGAAGTTGTCTCCTGTGCCAATGAGTTCTAGGCTCTTCCCCACTTTTTCTTCTAACTGATTTAGTGTGTCTGCTTTTATGTTGAGGTCTTTGATACACTTGGACTTTAGTTTTGGGTAGCATGATAAATATGGATCTATTTTCATTTTTCTGCATATAGACATCCAGTTAGA